GCTTCAACATGTAACGACCACCTGTGCCCTGATCCACACTCTCTACCTTGCCTACCACGAGCGCTTGTCCCCGCTCTCGATCCTGGAATCTCGCAAGGACATCCGCCTCCACAAGCACCGGGTGGGGCCCTCGCCTCGACACAACACCCCTCGGTCTCGACCTCGACGGCACTGGGGGAGGAACACGCCCACCAACCGCTCCCTCCACGCTTTAGACAGGAGTGGTGCGTGGCCCCTCCCTCCCTCCCTGCCCCTCTTTTTCCTCGTCCCCGAATCCTAGTCTCTTGCCCGTTTTTATCTTTCCCTTTGTCATTCTTTGCTTTTTTATTTCCTTTTTTTCCCACTCTCTGTGGCTTCCTCCCTTCCTCCTCTCCCGTCGTAATCTCCGCCGCCGGGGACTACTGTACATGCCCCAACCCTCCTCCCCATTTATACCCCTCTTTCATGGTTCTCTCCCACTTGCCCTCATGTCTTTTTTTCCTCCACCCCTCTCTTTCTCCCTCTATTCCTCCTTCCCTCCCCCCCTCCTTCCCGCCAGGCCAATCCACGTCCGGTTGGCGGACCTCACCGAGGGAGGGCGGGAGGGATGGAGCGAGGGAGGGAGGCTTCGTCCGACAGATATCCTTTGGGCCTGCCAACAAAGGGCGTCCAGCAGGCATCGAGCTCCTAGATTTGAGCGGGCGTGGGAGGGACGGAGAGAGGGGGAGGGAGAAGGACATGGGGAACACGCAGGTGAGCTCTCCCGTCTCAGCGCCCGATTTGGAAATCGTCGTCTCTCGAGAAGGGCAGGACCGAGGGGTGAAGGAAGGGGGGGAGGAGGAAGGGCTGGGTACGGAAGAGGACGACAATGAGCTGGAGTTGGCTCCTGAGGATCGGGGAGAATATGATCTGGGCGGATATGCGGACGGGGACGTGGCGAAAGAGGTGCAGATGGAGGAGGAAGAGGTGGAAGCGGCGCTCTTGCGGCATGGGGAGACGGGTCAGGCCGGGGAGGAGGGAGAGGAGGAGGAGGATGGAGGGGATGAAGTTGAGGAGGAGGAGGAAGGAAAACGATGAGGAAAAAGAGTTTGAAAATGTTGCCGGCTTGATGCTGGGAAGGGAAAGAGAAGAAGAGGTTGCGTTTGTGAATGATCTAAACGATTTGGCTGGCAGCAGCGAAAGATATTGTACATAAGAAGAGCGAGTCTTTGTGTGAGGAAGTCATTTACTATGGTGGGCCCGTACGGATTCAAAGGTTGGCCTCATTGTTGGAGACGCGCAACCTTGTTCCTCGCCCTCCCAAATTCAGGAGTAGTACGTCAAGGGAAAAGCAAATGTTGTGTACCTTTGCTGATTTTTTTCTTCACGACTAAATATTTTGTTTTGTAAAGAATCTTGTGAATTTCAGCCATCGACCTTCCTGAACAACTATGAAGAAATGATTGCCTTTGCAGAGCGTTCAATGTTCATATCACGAGCAGACGTCCTCCTGATGGATATGCAGTTTCTATTCGGCTTTCAAACACCAAGCATGATTTCTCGGTGCAATTCGTGTACCCTACTTCCAAAATTTTAGCTCTCCGATGCACACGTAGCCATTTAATTTAAAGGTTGTCCGTTCCCTCCCTCAATTTTGCAAACCTCCCGGAGTTTCGGAGGTTCATATTTCCGGTAAGAGGGCCCGAATCATGGTTCGACGTGGGCCGGAGCTGCGAGTAGAAAAAGTGCCAAAAACACGCCAGGCGCGTCAATATTGACCGATGCAGCGGAAAATGGAGGATACGTTTGAGGATACTTGCTAGCAGATCCCTTGCGGTGGGACGCATTCATTATGAAAGATGAACGAATGTATGTAAAACAAGGCTTCCAAGTTTATGTAACTCTTTTTTCAGCGCTTGCTTGCTCCCTGAGCCAGATTGTCGAATTTCCTGCAAGCCGCATTAAGAATTTTAATGTCATTTTGTTTTAAAAGCTACCCTTTTCGAAGAAAATAAAAAAAACTCTCCGCCATTTTATTAAAAAGTGCTCTGAGTCTGCCTCTCACGGCCATGCTTTCGGGCCATCGAGTCCTCCATGGTATCTTGTTATCATGAAGAGTAGATCATGTGCGCAGAAGGCTTAAGTGCTACAAGCAACTCTCAAGACATAGGTACATTAGTTACTTTTGGGTCCTGATGCGCCACTTGTACGGCAAGCTACGGGTACTTTGGCATGTACAGCACCGGATACCACCCTTTGCCCCTCCCCTCAGTATCAACCTTCTCTTCTCCTCTCTTCTGTACCGCTGACCTCCACCATTATGTTGCCCCCGCTCCATTCCTCTAACTTTAACCCTACCCCCTTGATCCTGTGGCGACGTGCCAGGCGACATTGAAGAGAGCCACTGCGTACACAGGAAGGACCAAGTTATCGATCTGGGCGGTGAATGCCTCCAAGAGTGTCAGCAACACCACCGCCCCCACCCATCCCCACACCCCTCTCTCCTTCCCTCCTTCCTGTCCCAGCTGAGTGAAGACACCCAGGCCGGTAGCGATAAAGAAGGCCGCCGAACCCTCCAGCGTCCTGCGGGTCCAAGGCCATCGGTGTTTGCCACACAGCGTCCCCACGGTGGCAGCGGCGGCATCGCCCATCCCCACCACCAAGATACCGGCCAAGGGCAGGGAGGGCGGGCGATTTGGGGGAAGGAGAAAGGAGAGCCAGAGCGGAAAGGCGCAGGCGAGAAGAAGGTAGAGGTGGGTGACAACCAAAGGGCCCATATCGCGGTCGTCGAGGAAGTGCTGGTAGTATCGGTGGACCGGACGGCCGAGGAGGAGGGAAGCTCGACCGAGGCGCAGGTATTCAAGAAGGAGGAGGAGGGAAAGGGCGAGGGCGTGTGCGAGGGAGAGGAAGAGGGGCTGATGGAGGGCGGGGAGGGCGAAGAGGGAGGTGGCCAATGCATGGAAGGCCTTGCGAGTGAGGATTCGGGGGAGGGAGAAAGCACGGGAGAGAGGGACGATGGCGCTGGTGAAGGCGAGGAGGGTAAGAGACCAGAGGGCGAGGAGAGGGAGGTAGGAAGGCTTGGAGAGGAGGAAGGTGAGAAGCCAGCGGAGGGGGTGCGGGTGGGAGGGGAGGAGG